AGTAGCACAGAGGCTGCTTGGTTCTGCATCTTGACACCAAGGGACTCCAGCTGCCCTGAGGAACTGGTGTTAGCAAATCCTGACTTAGCTAACTTTCCCTTCCTTTCCTTTCCCTTTTCCTCACCCTCAGAGCAGGCAGAGGCACTCACAATCACAGAGAACTCTCCTAGGAACTGAAATCACAGGTCACAACACTTCTGTAAGGCAGAAGATAACCTCATCCCCACTTCAAAACCACAAGAGTTTTCCCATTTTGATAAAGCTGGTGAGGCAGGGTGTACAGTGGAGCCAGCACTGACTGGCCTTAAGGACACAGCTCTGGGGACAAGTCCTAGCTCCATTGCAGGCCACAAAAGTTTGAACAAGTCATGAAATCTTTCATAAGCTGGGTCTTCACATCTTTTAAACAGTTCACAGTGTTATTAGGAGGATTGAATTAAGGAGGATATTGTGGAGACAACCAAGATGGTGGTGTAGGTAAATGCTGGTACTCGCGCCAGTACTAGCACCAATCTGCCTTGCTTCACAGCTGGGCCTCGCCTCCTGCACAGCAGCTCTCCCACTTTAGTCGCAGCTGGTCCTCACAGCCAATTGGCCTGGAAATCAACTCCTCCCAGAGATGCCAATAACAATGAAGGCTCAACTACAAGACTGTTCACACAGCCCACAGAGGGGCCCACCTAGAGGGCCCAACTCAGGGGACTAGAGAGGCTGAGCCACTGGCCCTATGGGACACCTACTACACAAGGCCACTCTACCAATTCCAGGAGATATAGCAGCTCTACCTAATACATGGGAACAAACATAGGGAAGCAGCCAAAATGTGGAGACAAAGAAACATGTCACAAATAAAGAAACGGAAGCAAGCAAACTACTGGATACAGAGTTCAATACCATGGTTATAAGGTTATTCTAGGATCTTCATGAGACTTTCTTTTTTTTAAATATATTTTATTGATTTTTTACAGAGAGGAAGGGAGAGAGATAGTTAGAAACATCGATGAGAGAGAAACATTGATCAGCTGCCTCCTGCACATCTCCTACTGGGGATGTGCCTGCAACCCAGGTACATGCCCTCGACCGGAATCGGACCTGGGACCCTTCAGTCCGCAGGCCGATGCTCTATCCACTGAGCCAAACCGGCTTCAGCTTCATGAGACTTTCAAGGAACTCAGTGAGAATGTCAAAGATATGAAAAAGGACCAGTCAGAAATTAAGCATATACTAACTGAAATAAAGAACAATTTTTTTTTTTTTAAATATATCTTTATTGATTTCAAAGAGGAAGGGAGAGGGAGAGTTAGAAACATCGATGATGAGAGAGAAACATCGATCAGCTGCCTCCTGCACACCCCCTCCTGGGGATGTGCCCACAACTGAGGTACATGCCCTTGACCGGAATCGAACCTGGGACCCTTCAGTCCACAGGCTGACGCTCTATCCACTGAGCCAAACCGGTTAGGGCAAGAACAATTTTTTTAAAAAAAATAATTTACAGGGATTCAACAGTAGAGTAGAGGATTCTGAGAATCAAATCAATGATTTGGAATATGAGGAAGCAAAAAACATCCAATCAGAAGAGCAAAAAGAAAAAAAAAATGAAGACAGTTTAAAGAGCCTCTGGGACAACTTCAAGGGTACCAACATCCGCATTATGGGGGTTCCAGAAGGAGAAGAGAGAGCCAGATATTGAAAACCTATTTGAAGAAATAATGACAGAAAACTTCCCCTACCTGGTGAAAGAAATAGACTTATAAGTCCAGGAAGCACAGAGTCCCAAACAAGAGGAACTCAAAGAGCCCCACACCAAGACACATCATAAATTAAAATGCCAAAGGTTAAAGACAAAGAATCTTATAGGCAGCAAGAGAAAAGCAGTTAGTTACCTATAAGGGAGTGCCCATAGGACTGTCAACTGATTTCTCAACAGCAACTTTGCAGGCCAGAGGGGAGTGGCAAGAAATATTCAAAGTGATGAATAGCAAGGACCTACAACCAAGATTACTCACCCAGAAATAATATTTAGAATTGAAGGTTAGATAAAGAGCTTCATAGACAAGAAGCCTGTATTACACGAAATGTTAAAGGATATTCAAGGAGGAGGAAGAAGGGAAGGAGGAGAAGGAGGAGGAGGAGAAGAAATATGAACAATAAAATGGCAATAAATACATATATGTCAAAAATTGAATCTAAAAATCAAAATAAATGAGCAAGGAATCTAATAAACAAAATAAACTGATGAATAAAATAGAACCAGAGGCATGGAAACAGAGAACAGACTGATGAATCTCAGAGGGAAGGGGGGCAGGGGAGGCAGGGAGAGATTAACCAAAGAACTTATATGCATATATACATTACCTATGTGTTGTAGAAGACCAAAGAAACCCAAGCGACGCTTAGAGAAATGGAGTTACACAGCTTTATTACACCAGCGGTCTCAGAGGAGTTGCCTCCAGAGTCTGAGCAAACCAGTATGGTGGAAGCCCTTCTTACCCTTTGGTTTCTTAATTTCTTTTTTAAAAAAATATATTTCTTTATTGATTTCAGAGAGGAAGGAAGAGGGAGCGAGAGATAGAAGCATCAATGATGAGAGAGAATCACCGATCGGCTGCCTCCTGCACTACCCACACTGGGGATCGAGCCCCACAACCCAGGCATGTGCTTTTGGCCAGAATCGAACCCGGGACCCTTCAGTCCGCAGGCCGATGCTCTATCCACTGAGCCAAACTGGCTAGGGCCCCTTTGGTTTCTTTTGTCTCCCAAATATGGATGGGGACTTCCGGACCTCTCCTGGGCTTTGCAAAAAGCCCCGTGGGTTGGGATGGGGGTATTGAGGCCATATCTAAGGGCCTGGCCTGGCGCCAGCGCTGATAACCCCCTCTGGGGGTTGTGTACTGTTACTTAATGATAGGTTATCAAGAATGTACATTAGGTTACTGGCACAGATTCAGATTGCTAGCCCCCCAAACATCAGGGTTACATGGAATTAGCCTTTTAGCCTTCTCATATGGACATAGACAATAGGGTGGTGAAGGCCTGGGGTGGGGTGGGAACCGGGTGGAAGGAGTCAATGGGGGGGAAAGGGGGGACATCTGTAAACTCTCAAAATAAGGAGTGCAAAAGAAAAAGGAGGAAACTGTATATGAAATCCCTTTGTAAGCACGGAGGTCATTGTACTGTGTGGACATGGTAAGTTTGATGCTTTGATGAGTGCTGTCCAGGAAAGCATAGCACCCCTCTTGGCGCTGTTTCTAGGAAATAGTTCCCTGCAGTTGCTACTTCAGAGCTCCCCTCCCGCAGGGTTTCTCTTCTGCTGCCTGCCCAGGCCCAGAGCTGAATTTGGGACTCTCCTACACCAAGGCTGTTGATCTTTCTGGCATTTCTTTCTACTCACTTTCCTGACTTACTTGGCTCGATTCATTTTTCTCATTCTTTACACCACCTTGTATTTTATGTATCTCTGTTTTAAATTCTTCGGGGGACAAAGCAGGCCACAATTAAGTACACACTGTTCCACACAGAAACACTATTTTGCACGCCACTGTTTTGTGTACTTAAAAAAAAAGTCATGCTTGTGACTCCTAAGTCATAGTGAAATACAATAAAATCATAACTGAGATGACTCCCAAGAAGGAGCCCAACACGCGCCTGGCTTGTGAAAAGGGTCCCACAAATTTCATCAGAAATTCACCAGACACTCCAGGCGCCAAGGCATTAAGTGGCTGCTAGGGTCTGTTGCAGGGACTCAGCCTCCTCCAGCTTCCTTTCCTCCGGCGTCTTTTGCCGGAACAGTTCCGGTGGGGTAAGGGGTGAACTGGGGTGTTGAGGTGGAGCAAAGGCCGTTAAGCGCGGTGAACCCAAGCATGAGGTGGGGAGTGGAGGAAGGGACCAGGCCGTGAGGCTCTGGACCTGTGAACCCGTGGGGGGCGGGGCGAGACTAGAAGTGGGCACAGGGATTTTGTTCTTTTTTAAAATTGATTTCAGAGAGGAAGGGAGAGGGGGAGAGAGGTAAAAACATCAATGATGATAACCATCTTTCGGCTGCCTCCTGCACGCCCCCTACTGGGGATCGAGCCCGCAACCCCGGGCATGTACCCTAGACCTGGGACCCGTCAGTCCGCAGGCCGACGCTCTATCCACTGAGTCGAACCGGCTAGGGCCCTAGCCGGTAGGGCTGTTGTTCTTTCAAGATGGAGAGAAAAGTCCGATTACCTGCAGAGAAGGAGGAAGGTCCCAGTTAGAGGCTGGGAGGTCTGAGAGCCGCGCGGGAGCCGGGCGGCAGCCGTCCTGCAGGGTGCGCCCCGGGTTCCAAGCGCGGTTCGCCCCCTGGGTCCCACAGCCCCGGAAGGGAGAAGGGAAGTGAGGGTGCCCCCGCGCACTCTTGTCCGAGAGGGGGCACATGGCCGTGCTCCTGTCCAGCCTCTCCCTGCCCGGACCATCCAGAGGTTTGGGTACACGGCTGAGTCCGCGCGCTCCTCCGCAGACAGGCCCCTTCTATTAACTCGGACCTCCGACGGCGTGGAGCCTGGTAGGCTGGGGGCTCCGCGACCGACCGAGGGGCACACATTGCTCGATTCGCCGCGCCGGCTTCCGAGCCACCCAGACGCGGTTGGAATCCCAGCTCCACTTCCCAGCTCATCACCTCCGCGTTGCCTCAGTTTCCCTTTCCTAAAAGTGGAGCTGATAACAGGACTCACCTCTTAGGGCTGTTGTGACGAATAAATGGCACCACGTCAATAAGGCGGCCAGTGCCGAGCCCGTACCTGGTACCCTCAGCAGGGCTGCGGGCATGGCTGGCACCCTCTCCAGCTCTCGGGGCGCGCGCCAGGGGCTGGTCTGTCCCGGTGAGGGTTGGGACTCCCCAGACGCCGGCACGCGGGTTTGGACTTGCTGGCGCCCAGCTAGGCTCCTCGACAGACCCAGAGGTGGGCGGGGGTTGGTGGTGACGTGGACTTGGGGACCTACCCGAGCTCTCCGGGCCTCCTCCACCTGCCCTGCTTGAGACTTTGCGGTTGGTGCCAGGCGGGGCAGTCGGCGGGAAGGCTGCCGGGCTGGGCTCCAGCAGCTCGGCCGGTCCTTCGGAGGCGGCGTGATTCACAATGACCTTGTGCGGGTGAGTGGCCCGCGGGCGCAGAGAAGCGGGAGGTGAAACTCGGCCGGGCGGGCGCGCCGTCGGAGAGCGCCAGGCGCGGGGGCTGAGAACGCCGGGGCGGGGGAGGCGCTGGTTGGTCTCTAAATTGAGTCCAGCCCGCGCGCCCCCTCCCCCCGCAGGTGAGGGCAGCGGGAAGGGGACGGCGCTTGGCGACGCTGTTGCTGTGAACATTTTTTTTCTGTTGAAAAATTCGACGTGGAGGCTGCCTCTCGTGGCCGGGAAGGTGGAAAGGGGCCTTCGGAGCGCAGGGTTCGGGTCTCTGGGTGGAACCCGGAGGCTTTGACCCAGGAGGGCTGGGGCCGTCTTTCCTGCGCCCGGGACCGACCGCCTCGGGGACTGGGGTCCCCGCGCGAGGGCCGCGGGCTCTGGACGGTCGGGGAGCGGAGGCTGCGTCCACTCCGCGGTTTCAGAAAGCACCCGAACGGGAAGGATTTGGGAAGCCGATTTCCAGCTCCACGCGCACAGCCCCTCGCCACGGAGTGAACGTCTGTGTGTGTCCCGGAGCGCTGTGGAGCCTCTAAGAGTAGCGTGATGATTAACGGAGAACGGAGACCTGGAGGTTTATCAACTACTTCGAAGGATCAGAAATACAGTTTGTGTCTCTTTATCCCCAAAGTGTCTCCCCTTGTATTTACTAGAACAATCATTTAGTCCAAGGAAGTCATCTCGTGAAAATATGGTGAGATGATGTTTGTTTTTTATTTGTTTTTTTTTAAAAAATATATTTTATTGATTTTTTACAGAGAGGAAGGGAGAGGGATAGAGAGAAACATCGATCAGCTGCCTCCTGCACATCTCCCCTACTGGGGATGTGCCTGCAACCAAGGTACATGCCCTTGACTGGAATCGAACCTGGGACCTTTCAGTCCGCAGGCCGAAGCTCTATCCACTGAGCCAAACAGGTCAGGGCTGTTTTTATTTTTTGCCTGGGACGGGAATGGAAAAGGAAAAGGGAAAGGCTCTGCTGGCTCAGGAGGGAGAGAGAGTCTAATGTGTTTTTTTTTGTTTGTTTGTTTGTTTATTGATTAAGGTATTACATCTGTGTCCTAGTCTGATGTGTTTTGAGCGTTAAAACACAGCACAATTGATCAATTGGACAGCTGGACTCATACACAAAAGGACTGGGTTTAACTGATGTTTGCTAACTTTATCTCTCTACCATCTTAAAGCTGCAGGCTGGTGTGACCTTAGGGGAACCAGAGTTCCTCTCTCCAAAGTAACTTCTTTTATTTATTTATTTGTTAATTCTCACCCGAGGATATTTTTTTAAAATATTTTTTTTTATTGATTTCAGAGAGGATGGGGGAGAGAGAGATAGAAACATCAATGATGAGAGGGAATCATTGATCGGTGCCTCCTGCACGCCCCAAGGATATTTTGTCCATTGATTTTTAGAGTGTAAGGGAGGGAGGACGGGGGAAGAGAGAGAGAGAGAGAGATTGATTGGTTGCGTCCCTCCAGCACACGCCCGGGGCTTGGGGTCAAACCCATGACCAAGGTGTGTGCCCGTGACTGGGAATCCGACCCGTGACCCTTCAGTCCGTGGATGAACGCTCTAACCACTGAGCAAGACCAGCCAGGGCCAAAGAAACTTCTTTTAAACTTTCCTTTGCTTCTAAGTTTACCTTTTCATTCAAAAATGTCTGAATTTGAAATGGGTACATTCTGTGCCCATTTATTAATTGGTGTCTTGGTTGTTTTTTCTCATAAATGAATTAAGATTAGATCTTTGCTCTCGTAATAGTTCAATTACCATTTTAATTTCAGTGTTGATTTTCAATGTGCAGACATTTTTAAAAGTTCGGATGCAGACACAAACATAAAGCCCACGGAAGTCATGGAAATCACGGAAATCACCTTTCTAGGCAAAATAAAAAATCGAGGCTATTGGTTAACTGGCTTCCGCGGTCTGCAGGGAGCTTGGCAGCAGGGCCATCCCTGCTCGGGTACGGGAGTCCCTCAGGGCAATGAGGATCACCATCTTCTTACTCAGGACTAAACTGCCCTCCAGTCTCTGTATCTGGACTAGGAGAACTGCTTGGCAGCGCTAAACAGCTGCACCTGCCTGGAAGGGTCGAGTGGTCATCAGCTGACACAGATGCCTGGCTTATTTCCTTATTTCTCACTGACTTTATAAATTGGACTTTGGCTCTTTCTTGAATGTTTCTCAAATATGGTCCAACCAGAATATCAGACCCACACAATTATAAGTTTAACACCCCCACTTAGGCACAAAAACAGTGCAGTTTTACTGGGGTAGAATGTTTGTTGTTATCTGTTGATTCAGCTGTTGAACATTTTATTGGCCATCTTTACCCACATAATTTCTATTAATGACTGCTTTAAAATGCTGTCCCTAGCTGGAACCAGGTTTGATAAAAAGAACTCCAAGCTGAGGCAGATCTGATCAGATGGTCAAACTTGACTAAGAGTAAGTAAAAGTCTGTTTTCTGGCCAGTGCTTCTATAACTTGATTACCTCAAATACACCTATCTTTTTTTGAATACCAATTTGGAAAATCAGATGCTACAGAAATATATAACAAAGTAGTGAAAATTCCACCTAAAAATTTTTAAAAAATATATTTATTGATTTTTTTTACAGAGAGGAAGGGAGAGGGATAGAGAGTTAGAAACATCCATGAGAGAGAAACATCCATCAGCTGCCTCCTGCACACCCCTACTGGGGATGTGCCCGCAACCAAGGTACATGCCCTTGACCAGAATCGAACCTGGGACTCTTCAACCACCTAAAATTTTTGTATATATTCATTTTTTTGTTTATTCTACCCACTTATTTGCTTATTTTGGAACCAGCATCATACTTTTAATAATTATAACTTTATAATAATTTTATTGTGTAGTGGTAGCCCAGCCTGGTACACAGCCATTTCTCTTATTTGTAATATTTTCCTTGCTATTCTCATGTGTTACTTCCAATACACTTTAGAATCATTTTGAAATTTTAAAATCCTGTTGTGGTTTCATGTATGTGATTATTATATTGAATTTATAGAGTAATATAGGGTGAAGTTACACCAGTACAATATTGAGTTATTCTCGTCAAGAATAAGGAATTTTTCTTCATTTATTTATATTTTCCTAAGGTAGAGGTGACTTGCTTAATGCTTAATTCTTTATTTGTTCAAAGACAGAATTAATACTTGATCACTGCAAATAAAAAAAAGAGAATATAGGAATATGTTGATATAAAAATATGTTGTGCCCTAACCGGTTTGGCTCAATGGATAGAGTGTCAGCCTGCGAACTGAAGGGTCCTAGGTTCGATTCCGGCCAAGGGCATGTACCTTGGTTGCGGGCACATCCCCAGTGGGGGGCATGCAGGAGGCAGCTGATTGATGCTTCTCTCTCATTGATGTTTCTAACTCTCTATCCCTCTCCCTTCCTCTCTGTAAAAAAATCAATAAAATATATTAAAAAAAATATGTTGAGCCCTAGCCATTTGGCTCAGTGGATAGAGCGTCGGCCTGTGGACTGAAGGATCCTGGGGGTGGAGGGGAGGGACGATGTTTATTTCATAACTAGCTACTGTTAGGCCTATAGGGCAATACAATCCTTATCAGCCATTTGTAAGCTTCCGCCACAGGAGAACAAAAGACCAGGAAAAATTCGCTGGACACCAGGAGGCAGACCATACAAGGAGTGAAAACTGTCCTGAAGGCATCTGATTGCACACCTGCATTCCATCTCATTCCAACCCCACCAGCTCAGCCCCCAAACCCCACTAATGACAAGTTTCCCACCAGTGACTGCATGTAAGGATGAAACTCCAGTTCATGGGTGCTGCTGTCATTGACCCAATGTCCCCTTGGCTCGGTGCTGTGCAACCTTTCCCTTCGGATATCGCACCCTCACCCCCACCCCCACCCTTAAATAAATTCAATTTTTCTTTTCTTTTTAAAAAAATATATTTTTTAGCCCTAACCAGTTTGGCTCAGTGGATAGAGCATCGGTCTGTGGACTCAAAGGTCCCAGGTTCGATTCCGGTCAAGGGCATGTACCTTGGTTGTGGGCACATACCCAGTAGGGAGTGTGCAGGAGGCAGCTGATGGATGTTTCTCTCTCATGGATGTTTCTAACTCTCTATCCCTCTCCCTTCCTCTCTGTAAAAAAATCAATAAAATATATTTAAAAAAATATTTTTTTATTGATTTCAGAGAGGAAGGGAGAGGGAGAGAGATATGGAAACATCAATGATGAGAGAGAATCATTGATCGGCTGCCTCCTGCACACCCTCTACTGGGATCGAGCCCGAAACCTGGTCATGTGCCCTTGATTGGAATCAAACCCTGGACCCTGCAGTCCGCAGGCGGACACTCCATCCACTGAGCCAAACCAACTAGGGCTGATTCAATTTTTCTTTATCCACTGTCTGAGATGGCTATTT